TTATAATAAAAAATGAGTTTAAAGTTTTGCGAATATATGCAATTATCAATTTTGAATGTAAAGTTGTGTGCATAAATTGTAAATGCATAAATCAGGAAAATTGAAAATGCATAAAATATGGCGTTTTCAATTTTCTTGATTTATGCCAACTCAGCATTTAGCTTGATTTTTGTCGTTAAATAACAATAATAAATAGATCTAGGAACTAACTTGAAACTTGGTGTATAAACAAGATTCAAATTCTTAACTCCGTAATTAGTAGTTTGTTTAATAAAATATGACGATGAACTGTATCAAAGACTTGGCTAAGGTTTATAAAAATACCTTATGTTTACTCTTTTTTTTTCAAAGGCTCGAAAAATAAGATAAACAAGTTTACAAATAGCATGATCAGTTGACTGACCTTTTTTAAACCAAAATTGTTAGTTATATAAAGTATTATTTGTTTCTAGAAAAGAGAATAGTCTATTTTACATTATTAGTTTCAGTATTTTAGAGAAGCAAGAAGAATGGAGAGATCTATAATTAGAAATATTAGAAGAATCTCCCGATATAAAAGCTAAAGTGGTTTTCCCAACTCTAATGGTTTGATGTTGTTGTGGTGTGGTTTGGTGTAGTTTTCGTATACACTGCTGCTTCTTATTTTGTTGACATTTATTCTTTCTGAGAAAGAACTTTAACTTACATCCTACTTTATTCTTTAGTGTATCATCGCCACCTTTATTAATTTTTACCATCTTACTTTTCTTCAAACCATTTAGAGTTTTTCGTTGATGCACGATATATTTATATATATATATATATATATATATATATATATATATATATATATATATATATATATATATATATATATATATATATATATATATATATATATATATATATATATATATATATATATAAATAAATATTAGTAAATACTATAACGTAATTATTTTGCATTGATATGTATATGTATATTTTTTTGTTGGAATTTAACTTTGGAATATATATATATATATATATATATATATATATATATATATATATATATATATATATATATATATATATATATATATATATATATACATATATATATATATATATATATATATATATATATATATATATATATATATATATATATATATATATATATATATATATATATATATATATATATTTATAATATATTATATCATTGTGATTTTCCAAAGCAGTTAAATGCACTTTAATAAGTAAATACTTCAATAATTTTAATCGTTTCAGGTCTAAGATGAAACCGCTAAACTTTTTTGATCTTTATCTTTTAAATCTAGGCTTAAGTTTTTAATCCTTTAAAGAAATTTTAGGTGTTGGGAGAACAGTCAAAAACAGTATAAACGCTTGTTCATTAATAAAAGCGAGTTCCTTTTGTTTAACGACCCTATAACTGCTATTATTTTACTTTATAATATATATAAAGCCTATAATATAGTTTTATTAACTTAATTTTAATTTTCATATATATATATACATATATATACATATATATACATATATATATATATATATATATATATATATATATATATATATATATATATATATATATATATATATATATATTATATATATATATATATATATATATATATATATATATATTTATATATATATATTATATATATATATATATATATATATATATATATATATATATATATATATATATATATATATATATATATATATATATATATATATATATAATATATATATATATATATATATATATATATATATATATATATATATATATATATATATATATATATATGTATATATAATATATATGTATATATAATATATATATATATATATATATATATATATATTTATATATATATATATTATATATATATATATATATATATATATATATATATATATATATATATATATATATATATATATATATATATATTATATATATATATATATAAATATATATATATATATATATATATATATATATATATATATATATATATATATATATATATATATATATATATATATATGTATATATATATATATGTATATATATATATATATATATTTGTATTAATATAAACTGTTTTTATTCTTTAAATATGGTAAAACACTACTAAAATAAAAATAGTATACATACATTATCAGGGGCGCGAGAAAATATTTAGAAAAATATAGTCGGCAATCAGGTGTGAAAGCTCTCGGCGCCCCTGTTTATAAGTGTTATAATTATTATATTCACATATAATTAGTATTTTAAAATTCATTATTATTTTAAGCTGTTTTTATACTCAGCCCCAATCCGTTTTTATTTATTTAAAGTACAGATAGCTTTGCACATAAAAGGTTTTTTATTTTTTACAGGCTCAAAAATGATCTTCCACTTTTTGCGTTAAACTTTAGAGTCTGCGGTTGTATTTAAAAATTAATAGATTTAAAGTTTTTTCTAAGTGTAAAAGATTATTTTATTTTTACTTTAGTATTACTATTTGATTACCTCAATATTGCAATTTTCTCTTTAAAGTGCTTATTCTATTTTATTTTTTGTATTCTATTTTTTGCTCACATTTATTCAGCTTAGAGTTCACATTCATTCAGTTTTCATTCAGCTTAGAGTTCAAATTTATTCAGCTTAACTACACTAAAATGCCAGTCAGACAATATTTAGCAGAAGTAAGAAGTATTTAAATGTTTTTTATATTTAAATTTACTCTGACTAATTTATTCTGCACTAGTCAAATAAGTTGGAGTAATTAAGTCAAATAAATTGGAGTAGTTAAGTTAAATAAATTGGAGTAGTTAAGTCAAATAAGTCGAGTAAATAAATCAAATAAACTAGATAGTATATTAAATAATAATAAAAAACCTTTAGTAAAAAAAAATTCTAGTGGATAATATTATTTGATGTTACATTTCGTACATCTCATCGCTACATCTCATCGCTACATCTCATCCATTTTTAAAAATTATACTTCCAAAAGTATTTTTATTTTATTAAAAACCTTCTGCAGACACTTTTTTGAGAGACTAAAATTTGTTAATAATATCTTAATAATATGTTAATATAAAACTGAAAAGTGAAATGACAAGCTATTAAGTTATCATAATAGTTTAAATGTATTAAGATCCTATGTAAAATTGCAGAACAAACATATATCTAATAAGAAAATATTCAAAAACTATTTACCTAAAAGTATTTTTGGCATAATTATTCTTTAACACAAAGAGTATGTTGACAACCTAAAAATCACCACTTTGGAAGAGTTTTGGAGTTGAAAAGAGTAAAATGAGTTTGAGCTGTTGTTGTAAACAGAATATTTTTATTTTTACATTACGCGTTTCCGATGGGATTTTTTTTTACAAAAATATTTAGCTTCTCAAGTTTTAATACTAAGCCGTGTTTTAAATTTGAAACCTACAGTAATAATAAATATAGTCGGCATAATATTATAATAATATGTTTACAATCTTCGTTCCTCATTAAATCTTGTGTTTGTTAAGTTGACAGGTTTTGGAAGATGTAAATAAAAATTATTTAATAAAAAACAAAAAACAATTTAATTTGGGTCTGAAACGTTGCGCTGATATCGTGCCAAAATCGTGATTATATCGTGCCAAAATCGTGTTAACATCGTGTTAATTAAAAAACAGTTTATTATTTTTTTAAATGTGCCAAAAAAAATGTTTTGAATAACGTCATCGGGGTATTTTACTGTATTTTCAACTGAACAAAAAAGTATCGATTTCCTATATAATATTTTCTATACATTTTAAACATATGATCTCAAGGAATTTTAATAGAAACGGTAGTAAAAAGTGTTGAAAAAACAATATAGAATTTTCTTCTAAAATACTTTATATTTTTTAGTAAAAACTGTATAGAAAACTATGCGACTTGTTAGAGAACTATACAACTTGTTAGAAAACTAAGCAACTTATTAGAGAAATATACAACATATTAAAAACCTATGCAACATATTAGAAAACTCTGCAACATATTAAAAAACTATGCAACATGTTAGAAAACTATGCAACATGTTAGAAAACTATGCAACTTATTAGAAAAACAAGCAACATATAAGAAAACTATGCAATATATCAAAAGCTTTGTAACATATTAGAACACTGTACAACTTTTTAGAAACTTTGACAAAAACAGAAAAATAAAAAGAAATCATTTTTCTGAAAACTATGCCACTATTTATAAAAAAAGTTAATAGAAAAACTTTTTGTTGTTTTTAAAACAATTTCTTTTTTATACAAATTATACTATAATTTTAATAAACAGTATGTTTCAAAATTTTATATTAAAAAAATTTTGTGTTGAAACTTTGAAATGTTTTTGGCAACAACAACTTGTTGTTGTTGTTGTTTTAAATGAAGAACACTTAAAAATAAAAACATAGTCATATTACTTATATTCGTTTTCTATTTAAAAGACTTTTATTATTGTCTATTTAAAAAGCATCTATCATTGTATATTTAAAAGACTTATTATTGTCTGTTTAAAAAGCATCTATCATTGTATAATTAAAAGGTTTTAATGACATAATACCTACTAATACATAGACTCGTTACACTCCGCCTGGACCTGAAAATATACACGTATTAAAGCGTATTAATACGTTTCTAAAAGTGTTAAACACGTCTTGTATATACTTACTGGATTCATTACACTCTGCCTGAACCTGAAAATACGTCTATGTAAGTATATACACGTCTTGTATATACTTACATAGACTCATTACACTCGGCCTGGACCTGAAAATATCCACGTATTAAAGCGTATTAATACGTTTCTAGAAGCGTTAAACTCGTCTTGTATATACTTACTGGATATATTGAAATAAAAATAAATTTTGACAACAATTGTCTATAATCAGTCGATAATGTACTAATGTAATAAATATTTTTTAATGAAAACAAATAATATATTACTTAATGAACTTATTTTCTTAATTTTATTTTCATTTGTGGTTTAGGTGCTCAAAGAAGACCTAATAATATTATCAAAGAACACAGTAGTTATCAAAGAGCACAGTAGTAAAGCATTTAACAAGGAAGTTAAGTTCTTCCTTACCAGTGATGTATTTAAGTCCAGAGCCAGCTTCGAATCACGGACCTCCAGTTCAAAAACCAGAACTCTATGCACTACATTACGGCTGCTAAATTTATTGAAAGATGTATTTAAAATTTATTAAAAGATGTATTTAACGTTTATTGAGCAAAAGCAGTAATAAATTTTTATAACTATAATTTCATCAAATATTTGTATTGTTCGTGATGGTTCTTAAGTAAAACAGCGGTAATGGCTATAACCTTAATAAATAAATGCTAAAACATCTTCGATGACAGTTGCAGTAGAAGTTTCAATTAGAACAATGTCAATAAGATTCAATTTGAATATTTTTTACTAGTATTTAAGGAAGGTCCCTTACAACTGGCTTATTAGATCTTACTCATTTTAATTATGCATATAGTCATTTTAATTATGCATATAGTCATTTTAATTATGCATATAGTTTTAATTATGCATTTTTCGGCAGCTTTTATTTTGAAATAATCATAATATCTGCACTTTCGGCAATAACTTGGTCCCATTTAAAAAGATAATGAGTTTTAATTATGTTTACTGATTCAAATATTTTTAAATAAAATATTAAAAATACGGAGAGTTTGTCATGCATTGTATATCATTTTCCATAATTTTTGATGAAAACTTACATAGTATTTTATACTTATTAATGATATATTCAAAAAAAGAAACATAGGTTTTATTACAGGAATAATCTTTACACTTAAATATCACCTGAAACATAATGGCAAGTTTTAGTAAATTTGAAAACTTGGCATTATTAATTTTAAAACAAAATATTTTATAAGTTTCGTTTTGCTTTTGATTTTTCAACTGTATAAATAAATTAGAGAATAAGGCAACAAACTTTAGAACTTAAAAACTTCGTCTCCAAATAAAACTATTAGTACATTAGATTCAAAATAGGTTAGAGGAGGGCATATAGGGACACTTAAGAAACAAATGCTAGTTGCACTGTTTTTTATAAATTTCCTAAATTTCATTAATATAAAAAAAAACAAAAAAAAACAAAAAAAAAATTGAAAGGTAAGCTAAGACAACCAAAGAAAAGAAACTCTAGACTAGCAAAATTTTTACATTTTGCAAATGGGTGGATCAAAACGGGAAAGTTAAAAACCGGCAGTTATTTATTATTTGTAAAACTTTTGAAATTCTCAAAAAAGTAACACACCCATACAAACTACACGCCTATACACTCATACACTACAAAAAAGAAATAAAAACTAAAATAAAATAAAAAACTTTTTGTGTTTTATTATAATTTAGTGTTAAACAAACAAACTTTAGAAATGAAAATTAAGTAGGCCAAAACTAGTATATATTATTAAATTAGTAACTACTGTTAAATTAAACAAAAAATATTATGATCACATAAATCACACGAAAAAAAATTTCTGAAGCTATTTAGCATCACTTTTGATGAGTTGGCTATGTAGCAATATGTCAAAGTAGAACATATTTAAATATGCCATATGTATCAGCAACTTTTCTAATTATAAGTTTCATTTTTTTCACAGCTAAAGCCGCATTTCATCACATTTTAGATAATTGAGCTTTCTTATATAATTTCTTATCATCGTTGTTCAGGGCCGTCCCGAAGAGATTTTAAAAGGGGGGTGATGTGTCTGTTTTTTGCCGACTAAAGGGACGGTCCTGTCGTTGTTTACATTTAAGACTATTAACAATCAAAGATAAGTTATAAAAAAAAAAACAATTTCTTTGAACTTATTACTAATACTGGTTTTCTAAATAAGAAAAAATACTCTAAAAATGATTTAAGCTTTTATCATATTTAATAATAATAATTTATATTTTATAATTAAAGTTTATATTTTATAACTATAACTTATATTTTATAGTTATAATTCCAAACTTTTATCTAAATTTCAATAATTTGTTAAACTCTATACAAAGTTTTTTAAACTTTTTTTGAGATACCAATGTTTATACTAATATAGAAATACACATAAACGCACACTCACACACACGCGCGCGCACACGCACGCATATACACACATAAATATACAACAAATATATCTTAATATAAGGAATCTATTTTATACATTTCTTCTTTTAAGCCTAAATCTGGTTTTAAAAACTGCTTTAAAAACTTTGGTTAGAAAGTTAATAAGAATCTAATTCAGCTTATAATAAATTTTAAAATAATATTAGATTTTAAATATTCAAATTTTTAATTTGTTCATTGTTTTACGGAATTTGCAAACTCTAAGCTGAGAGTTAGCTAACCCCTTTACATAAATTCTATCTTTTGGACTATGAACTAAAGCAAATACGTACAATACTAATGACTGCGCATTTTACTGTTGTCTTTATGGTGATGTAATCGAATTCTTTGATTCAAACCTTTAATAAAAACAACAGCGAATTAAAAAATTTTGTATAAAATTTTTAAACAAAGTCCGAAAACTTGTTTATTCCCAACCAATATCAAAAGCTTAACAAGAAATCAAAAAACATATCGGAAATGATAAAGATAATAATGTTTTTTAGTAAAAATAATAGTTTAAGATTTTGAAAGTTTAAAATTTTGATAAAAATATTGCAAAAAAATAGAATGAAAGTAAAAAAAATATATATAATTTTTATTATTATTTTTAATACTTTTAATAAAATTATTAGATTTTTTTATTACAAAATATAAACTTATTTTTTATTTTTTAGATTGGAGCATTGGATAAACCATATAAGTGCTCTTGTTTTATTTTAGAGCATTAAAGGAGCTATTAAGAAATAATTAGGAAAAATTTTAAAACTTGTATTTGTCCATGAAGTTGCTTAATTAAGTAAATTTTTTTTCTCAATTACATTTCCTAATGTTTCTCTAATGTTTCTCTAATGTTTCTCTAATGTTTCTCTAATGTTTCTCTAATGTTTCTTTAATGTTTCTCTACTGTTTCTCTAATGTTTCTCTACTGTTTCTCTACTGTTTCTCTAATGTTTCTCTAATGTTTCTCTAATGTTTTGCTGATGTTTCTCTAATGCTTCTTCAATTTTTCTCTAAAGTTATCCCATATGAGTTAAAAATAGAAAATATTTAATAGCAAATCAGCAAACATTAATTTAATAGATTTACAGTGGACCTATGATAGCATTTTTTTAGCAGTTTATTGGAGTTTTGCTCATCCGTTACTGAATTGACCATTAGTGGCAGCAACTATAAATGGCAAGCCGATAACTTTGCGACATGTTAATATTAGCTAAATATGCCTATATAGGTTCACTGAAATTCTGCTATAGAATGTTTGCTGAGAAGTTCAAAAAAAATTTAATTAAAAAAAAAGACCAGTCACATTTTCGGTCTAAAAATTTAGACCCGTCTAGGTTATTTTTATATTTTTTCAAACTTTGAAAAAATTAGATCATAATTTTTTCTGGGGATAAAAGTAAAAAAATTAAATATTAATCTTTTTTTATTTTTTAAAAAATAATAATTTTGAACAAACTTAATATAAGTATTTACGTTTTTATTCTTAGTTGAATTTAAATAAAATATCAAATACAAAAAAACTTTAATAAATTTTTTGTACTTTAATAAATTTTTTTGCTATTGATTTTTTTTTCGAGTTGTTTTTTTGTTTTTTTGTATTTTCGAGTTGTTTACTATTACATTTAGCTGCCTAATATCATGCACTCTCCTGATAAGGGTAGGATAATTTATTTTTCACTCAATGCATGAGTGAAAAATCAATTAAACTTGAGAAAAGGTTTGATAAAATACATTGACATAGAAAACCATTATGTTCACCAAGAAAATAAAGGACACTGGGAGGGGGTATTTTTTTCAAAAAACATTAAAAAGTTGCAATCAAAATTTCTTTAACAACAGAATTGAAATCAAATAAAACTTAATACCACATGAAGTTGGCTATTCAAAAAAATGAGTTTAAAGTAAAACTAGACAAACATTCTCATTACAGCTAGTCGTCAACTGTCGACCAGCTTTACAAGATATAAAAATCTTGTCTTGCTCTGTTTGAAAAGTGGCAGAGCAAAAACTCTTGGTAAATTAAACAATAAAAACTGTAGTTTAAAGATTTACTTAAGAATTAGCAATTTTAATTTAAAACTAGATCAAAAGAAACCCGGGAAGTAATATGATTTTATTGTTGAGACACAATGTTACAATTAAAGTTTTATTTCATGTATTCTATTAAAAGAAGTTCTGCGTATAATGTGCATGCAAATATTTTACTTTTATGCATAAAAATTTCAAATATGTGTAACTTTGTAATTGCATATTTGTGTTTTGCGTATAATGTACATCGAATTGTTCTATTTTTGCGAAAAAGATTTCAAATGTTTATGATACAAAATTAAAATGACTTATTATAAAATGTTTCATTTTGATAGGTAAAACTTATGGGCTAGGACCAATTTTGGTTTTTAAATGATAAATTAAACTTGAGGTCTAGGACTGATTCTAGTTTTTAGTTCCATTATCTACTTTTCAAAATGCAGCAAAAATAAAGAAAATACCTACCAACTTAAAAAAAAATTTTCTCGCCATTATAAGAGTTGACATTCAGTAATGCGTGTTGTAAAGACGTTAATTCAACTTAAAAATGTTTCTTTTTTACTCATGCAAAGGTATTTATATAAGTAATTGGATGTTCGGAGTTTAAGTCAGGTTCGAGTTCGGAATTCGAAGTTTAAGTGCGTAGTTCGAATTTGAATAACAAACTTAATATTCAAAACTCATGTGAGAAAACATTTTTTTTATCTCGTTATTTGAAATTAATTAAAATATAAAACAGTATAAAATATAATTCCAAACACTTATTTTTTTATTGCTAACTCCATGCACTTTTAAATATTTATTTAAAAGTATTTGGGGGTTGTCCATTAATTACGTCCACAAAATAGGGGGAGGGGGAGGTCTAAACTTTTTTGACAATTGTTGACAAGGGGGAGGGGGAGGTCAATTAAAGTTGATGTCAACAATTTTTTATTTTTTTTAGTTTTATTGCTTAAATAACGTAAAATTAGGCTGAGTTTGTAGCGTTGCTTCTTTGTGTAGGTGAGGGGGGTGGTAATCAAAAATTGACGTAATTTTATAGGGGGAGTCTCTGGAAATTTGACAAATTGTTGACAAAGGGGAGAGAGGGAGGAAAAAATTTCAAAAAAATTGTTGACGTAATTAATGGACAGCC